TGCCTCCGACGCCGTGATCACATGTATTATTTTCATCCACTATAGAGATGCTTCGGTAGTATTTGATACAATGTCTACCTATTTTTATGTCTCTTATCTCATTTCTCCTTATCGAGATGTATCTTGTGAGTCCTTGGCTGTTCTTGTATATGTGTCCATGCTAGTGGGTGATTCTATTTCTGTAGATCGGGTTTAGCAATCCAGTGTAGTGACTTATTTTGGGTATGATACCATAGCGGATCTTCTATTGCTCGATATGATTGACTTCCAAGTTATCTTGGGTATGGACTGGTCGTCTCCGTACCACGTCATTCTCGACTACAATGGCAAGACTATTACCTTGTGATGCTAGAGTTTCCTAGGATGGAGTGGAGACATTTATCTAGTAATACATATAGTCGAGTTATTTATTTCCTAAAGGCACGACATATGGTCGAGAAGGGTTGTTTGGCCTATCTGCCTCAAAGACTCCCATGATAGATTCAGTGCATGTGGTGCGGGAGTTTTCCGATGTATTTCGTGCTGACTTACCAGGCATATCACCAGATTGTGATATTGATTTCGCATTAATTTTGCACCAAGCACCCAACCTATCTCTATTATGCCTTATTGTATGACCCATGCGGAGTTGAGAGAGTTGAAGGAGGAGCATCAGGCCGAGTGTGTCACCTTGGGAAGCACCGATACTATTTGTGAAGAAGAAGGATGGAAGCATTCGAATGTGCATTGATAACCGCCAGTTGAATAAGGTGACCATCAAGAATAAGTATTCGTTGCCACTTGTTGATTATTTATTCGATCGGCTTCAGGGTTCTCGGTTGTTCTAGAAGATCAATGATATTCGGCTTAAAGTATGTATATTTATATGCATATTGCCTCACATTTTACTCATGTTTCGTAGAGTTTAGATGTGTAAGGCAATGATTTATTCTAATTCGTGGTATTTTTATGTGTAGGAGCCATCCGGAATAAATGTGGGATGAAAGTGCATTATTTGAAGCAAAAAGGGAACAAAGTGAAAAATTGGGACCGTGTGGCGCCACAGGTAGGGTGGGGCAGTACTAGTCGCCCAGCTTCAAGAAGCAAAAAATTTCTAGCGCTCCACGCTACCCTGTGTGCTGTATGATAGGTTTCACTCCTATTTCATCCGGGACAAGTTTATTTCGGCCCAAGACGCCCCAACTCGTATAAAAGCAAGTCTAAACCTATTTTGGAGGGGGAGACGCCACTTAGAGAGGAAAGTACACGCACGGGAGCAAAGATTCTCAGTGTTTTCTTCCTCTTCTCTTTCTTTAACTGTATAGTTTATTAGTTCTAGAATTGTGGGGTGCTACATGAATATTGTAGTTTGAAGCTTGAACTGTTCGTATTATTTATCATATTGGTTTATTTATTCAATCTTGCACTTAATTATTTGATTGTTTGATCACCAATTGAATACTATCTCTGAATCTAGGATTGAACTCGGGAGAGAGAATTTTAGATTGTATATAAGATTGAGAAGAGCGAGATCATGAACCTGAGTATCGGGAACAGATTTGCGGTTAGGATAGGAATATACCTAATTGCCTTGCTTGATTATTATAGAGGAATTACTAATGCGTTCTTGTTAATCCTAATTACATAAGAATATAGGCGTTAGGATAGCTTGAATAGGCGAGTAGTGCTTCGGGGGAATACTGCAGGTAATATTAGCCATGTCAATCAATAAATTAGATAATTTAATTAGATAATTTAATTAGACAACTTAAGTAGAAAATTCAACGGGATTGTTAGCTAACCCATAGATCTAGAATATTTTCTCCCATCGAATTCATCCCTAAGATTACATTTTTGTTTCCTTTAATTTTTTAGTCTACTATTCTAGATTAGTTTTAGTTAAATATTCATCCTTTAGAAAATTGCTCGAATTGATTAATTGTCTTAGTTTAATTTAGTAAATAGTTAATCACAAGTCCCTGTGGGTACGATATCTAGACTTACAATCCTATTTTGCCTGCCGACCACGTATGCTTACGTGTGCGTATTGGAGCAATAAGTTTTTGACGCCATTGTGGGTCTTAGAAATTAACTATTTTACTAGATTAGATTTTTACTTTCTTTTCCAATTTTTTTTTTAATTTTACCTTAGTTTAATATTTTATTATCTTTATTGATATGGCATCTTAGAATGAGAATTGGTTGAGTATTGGTCATTCTTATTTTGGTAAACCTTGTCTATATCGTGGAGGACCAAACATGTGGAAAATTATGAATCTCAATCTTAAGAGTAGAATTTTTTTAATATGTGTCGTTGTCAAGGTGGCCATTGGGATGGTTGTCCGAATTCTTGTGACCCTTCTCTGGGCTCTCATTATGATGTTTCTAATAATATTTGTGAGTAGGATAGGAGCATTGAAGCGGAGGAGGTGGAATGCGCAGCTCGTTTTTGACATAGTGTCTTGTAGCTATTACTCAAAGTGTTCTTCAATTATTCTTTTCTTTATGTCGCAACAGAGCTCATATCGAGGGTCCGATCGAGGCCGAATTTCAGTGTTCAACTTAAGATCAGGCTTGATCATCACATTACAATTGGTTTGATCGTTCATTTTATCTTTAACTTAATCACTTGTTGTTCTTAGATCATACAATTTGAATTAAATCACATATCCTTTAAACCGCCTACAAATTTAATTGTTAATCATTTTTTAGGGTAAACAAGCTCCTCACGAATAATTCCACAGGTTTCAGCTAAAATTTTAGAGTGTGTTCCTTTTAAAGAAAAGACTCTTGTCCCCTACCCCACTACACCACACAAAGACTGCGATCAAAAGTCAATATTTCCAAAGGCTGCCTGCGTCTTGAGATCAAAAGTCAAGTTACTAGCTAGTAGTACAAAAATGACAAAACAATTGTACTAAGTATTCAAACCAGATGCTAAATGAAATATGAATCTGTCAATCTAGGATGAAAACGTGCTATATGGACATATCATATATAAAATCATGTCAAATCTATTTTGTTTAAATTTCGTATTTGCATGGTAATGAAGTTTACTTCAACAATAATCGATCATCTAGAAACATAACAGGCAGCCATTTGGTCAATGTCAACCTTCCCAAATGATATATTAAAAAGATAATGCCAGCCATGAGCATGCTTATGAGTAATGCATTACTGTTTTATAATGTTAATATTCACGTGCTTGAAAGCAGCCTTGGCGTAACTGGTAAAGTTACTGTCATGTGACCACGAAGTTACGAGTTCGAGCCGTAGAAACAACCACCTAGAAAAATGCAGGGTAAGACTGCATACAATAGACCTTTGTGGTCCGGCTCTTCAGTAGACTCCTTGCTTAGCGGAATTATATTGGATCGGGATGACCGTTAATATCCACGTGCTATGCTGACCCAAAGACGAAAAGAAGAAAATTTTAATTTCTTTTTTCTTGCTTCCCGTATATATTTTTTGTTTTATAGGGAAAAAAATATTTAAGCTTATCAATATCTTCACCTAACAAACCTATAAAAAGTAAATTAGACAATCATTTAGTTGCTGAATTTTAGATGTACGTAAATGGAAAACGTGTCAGACCAAGAAATAAAGAAAACGATTGACCAAATTTGGGACCTTATGTTTTCAATATAACATAACTTAACACGTCTTGATATATTAATTCAACTGTCAATAAAGAAGAGGATAGTGGTCGCAGCTCCAGGTGGATGAATGTTGAGTTGTTGACATAAAAGAAAAAACATTACTCCTTGTGAACTTGTTTAAGCATAGAGTTCAAGAAAAAATGAAATCTTTTCAAATTTATGGTCCTAACCAAGTCAAAAAGAGTTCCAGGATATTTATGTGATTATAAAAGCTTCTCACTAAGGATAGAATTGAGAGTTTACGTTAAATTGTTTCCAAATTTAGAAAGGGATTATTCTTTTTAAAACAGACCAAAAAGGAAATATGTTCACATAAATTGAAACGGAGAGTAATAGTTAATTTTTGATTCGTATAGACAATTCAAAGAGCTAATGGTGTTAGATCACAGAAGTCAAGTTAGATTCACAGTTTTTTCGTCTAGTCTGTAGTATTTGTTTTTCCCCTAGCAAACACTGGATCTTGGTTTGTACAGTATTAGTTTACTTAAGACATTGGACGACAACAACAACATTGATAATGATAATAATTTTAACTTTTACTTTGTGTTAATAATGATGACGATGTTACTTTTTCTTCAAGTATCTGCAGAAATTTTAGAAGACAGTCTTGGAAAAGTGCTTCAAGTATAAGTAAGAAACAATATCATTTATAAGCTATGAATTTTCAATTAGTTTTTGGAAAAGTTGAGTCACAAATAACCAAAAGTCAGTCTTGGAATTTAAACAAAAGGTTCTCTTACATGAAATATTTTATTTCTGTCTAGCCGACATGGAAAGCTGACTAATTTGTTTCCATCTAGAGTTTATCTTTAACAAAATAAAGAAAATAAAAGTTGAGTATATTCTTTATTTTTCCTTAATTAATTTTTTTTCGTGTCTATTTTCTCTATAGTTTTCCTTTCCATCCCTTAACTTGCTAGTTGGTAATTGAGAAAGGTTATGTTTAATTCATTTTTTATTCCCACTTTACATTAAAAGTTAAAGTACAGTAATTGGTGAATATATCATCAGCAGTACATCTCTGACCCTAACTAACCCAACTAAATATAATAATCGAAATGTCTATGTTATTTTTTTTTTTAATCTAATCACCAAAATTTTATGTTGTCATCCTCTGCTTCAAAATATAGTAATAATCCAAATAGAAGGTTAATGGTGATTGGTGAATATAGCAGCACTTCTCTGACCGAAACAAACTAAATATAATAATCTAATCATTAAAAATTTTTGTCCTCCTCTGATTTAATATTTGTTTAAGCATATTCGTACCTGTTATTATATCATCAATTAAAATCAAATCATATCACTTTCCTTCCTCTTTCCAAACTTCCACTCACTCTACCCTGCATGTACCTATATATTTCTATATATATCATCATCCACTCTTCTCCAGTTTCTCAAGCTAATTAATTTCCTATTTTCTCACCAAAGAAAGTGCTCACAATGGAGATGAAAATGATGTTGCCATCACCACTTGCCGTTTTCAACTTGGACGACAGTGCTTGTACTACTCCTTATATAAGTGCTCCTTCAAGTCCTGAACGTTTTGATGATGGTTTTACTTTTGAATTTAGTGGATATGAGTTGGAGAAAAGCTCAATATCAGCAGCTGATGAGCTCTTTGATGGAGGAAGAATCAAGCCTTTAAGTCAAAATGAAAGTCGTGGAAGGGAAAGAACTCAAAATTCTTCAAATTCTTCAAGTCCCAGCAGCAGGCACAAAGCAACAAGATCTTTATCTCCTTTGAGAGTTTCTGATTTGCTATTATTTGATCACAATGAAAACATTGATCAAGAAAACACAGAGACCTCTGCTACTGCTGCTTGTTCTTCTTCGGATTCGTCTTCAGTTTCATCATTGATATCACTCTGGAACAGAAAATGGAAGCTGACAGACTTATTGCTATTCAGAAGTGCTTCTGAGAGTCGAGCAACTAGCAATTTAGAAGAGTTGAACAAGTATGAGTTGGTGAAGAAAGCCCGTCAAGAAAATGTTAAATCGAATAGTAGTAATGTGGGATCAGCGGTACCGAGCTCCAGGAGGAGGAAGGTACCAATTTCGGCTCATGAGTTGCATTACAAGATGAAGAGGGAAGTGTTGAAAGAGATGAAGAAGAAAACCTTCTTACCGTACAAACAAGGTTTACTTGGTTGCTCAGGGCTAGATGATCCAATTTCAATGTACATGACTCGTCGTGAATAGCTCTGGTTGTCTCCATATGTAATTATTTGCTTAATATAGAAGAACAAATGGTTTGATTGAACATCTTTTAAAGTAAAGTGTTTACCCTTAAATCGGATAGCAATTTGTTTACCCTAAAAAACGGATAACAACAAATTTATAAGTGGTTTTAAGGATATGCGGATTACTTCGATACAAATGATAAATTATGTTATATTAAACAAATAAAAGATGCAGTAAATTATCAAACCACTTGAGGAGGATGATTCCGCACTTAACAATAGCCTTAATGAGATATTCGTCCTCGATACCAGACTTAACAAGGACCAAGCATTGATGAATAAGAACAAGAACTTTCAATGACAGAGAAAATAGTAGTATATTGCTTTGATATGCCTGTTACAGTGTGTTCAATGTATAATCAGACTCCCCTTTATATAGTAGGGAAGTTTCACCCTAAGTACAATTCTATTAAAGGTTTAAAAGTCTCCTTTTTGACTAATCACCGGTTCTCTACCGATACGTGGAGTTACGCCGTGATATCTAGCCGGTCGCGGATATCACGACCTTCTATTGGTCGTGCTCGGTTGTCTGGTAATGTTCTCCGAAGCCTTTGAATTTCGAACCAAACCTGGGGTCATGGCTCCGATATTCCCACGGGAGGTCATTTCACCCAGACCCCGGATCGAGGGGCTCCTTGCCTCGATTACGGCTTCTTGCCTTCTTGTTTCTAGCTCCGTTAACTTCATTGGAAACCGAAGCATATCATGAGCTCGGTATTATCAGTATACAGATAGTCCCCTCTTTTCTCGGAGAGTATGTTGACGAGAAATGACATTATGACCTCTAACACGTGTCGTCCATCGGTTGGCTATCTCTGGCACGAAACATCGTAAAGCCTCTATAAATATCTCTCTCCTTCGTTCACATTTCACTTTACATTCAAGCTTCTACCCTCAAGCCTTCACGATTTTACCACCCCTCTTTATACTCTAGTATTTTTACCTCCATTCTTCAAGACTCCTTAGTAAATTGCATGTTCTTACTCATTTTCTACACAAACCAACACATCTGAGCTTTCATCTTTCAACCTTTCGTTATCCTTTTCAAGCCTTTTCATATAACAATAACCTAAACCTCCAAATATGTCCCCTAAAAAGTTGTTTCTTCTTACCGACCGACTGCCAAAATTAATGAAACCACCCCTGACGTGGTTGACCTTGAGAAGTCCGTTGTTGTCATAGTTTCTGATGAACCGATTGGCGAATCTCCCTTGAAAATGTTCATTCCCGGGGGTTGTTCGGTCGCTGATGACTTTAAGGTTGAGAAGCTCTCTTTGGTGCAGGGTCGGCGTGAAGAGGCATCAAGATACTTTTGCTCAATCACTGAAGATGTCCTCCCTGAGGTCCGAAAGGACTGCAACTGGGCCGACAAGGACATAGTGGTTCCCGACCTGGAGGAGGCCATTACTACCTATGTTGAGGGATACCTAAGTGTTTACACTTATCCCTTGACGCTGGGCCCGGTGGACCTGGTCATTATGGACTTCTGTAAGAGGTAAGAAGTGTGCATCCACCCATTGTTGTGGACGATCGTAATCCTCCTTCGATTTTTCGTGAACAAGATCGACTCTTGTCGGCTCACCGTCGATCATCTACTCCGCCTGTATAGCCCCCCGAATCTTCAGTGGGGGACAGATAAAGCTAGTATGCCGGGCTAGCAAAGCCCCGTTCTCAAGCATCGACGAGGACCGGGATTGAGGCTGGCAGGGGCGCTTTGTCCGGGTGAGGGCCTCAGACTTGATCCCTGCCAAATATAGGCCACTCCCCAAGAGGTGGAATGCATCACAAAAGTACAACCTCCTTTCGAATGTTGATTTCATGTTCATCTCCTTTCTTCTCATTGGTATTTGTTGTGGTCCAACTATTGCTCGGGTGCCAAACGATGTCCCACGGCTCAAGGAGTGGTTCGAGCGTATTGTCTCACTGATGCCTTACTCCGAGAGCTCGTGGAGCAAACTCTCGAAGGGCCGTTGGGAGGCTCGTTCCCACGATAGCGTTCTGTCACGACCCCAATTCGCCCTCCGTGAACCATTGTGACGGCACCTTGTCTCTACAACTAGGTAAGCCTAAATTGCGGAAAGAAACCAAAAATTTACGGAAGAAAAACAATTTAAAACAATAATAAGAAAATAACCAGTGTATAAATGTGTCGTTCGGCAAACACCATATTTAACTCTCAAAGCCAACACATAAATCCAAGACCCAGAAACCCATGAATCACAAGCTAAGAAGTACTACACAGCAACACAGCTCTAACTCCAGAATGTCTAACAAGAACTGAAAATACAGAAAGGCTAATACTAAACAGCAAGAGTAGAAAGAGACTCCTCGGTCTGCGGACGCGGCAGATATACCTTGAAGTCTCTACAGAAGTGCCTCGCCTCAAGGATGATAAGACTAAGCCAAAGTACCTGGATCTGCACATGAAAAACATGCGCAGAAGGGGCATGAGTACACCACAGCGGTACTCAGTAAGTGCCAAGCCTAACCTCGGTCGGGTAGTGACGAGGAAGGTCAGGGCCCTACTGAAGTTAAATAAGATATAAGGTTTAACAGTGTGAAATAAACAGTGTAAGCAAGTAACACAGGATGTAAAGGACAGCAACAACTATCACAGAGGCAAGTAAAACACAGTAAGAGAATACAACTCAGCTCCAAGATAACAACCGGGGATCTCCCAGGATACTGTCCTATGGTTCCCAAATATAAATACCATATCCAACGGATCTCCCGGATGCAGTCCCGTAGTCCAACTCATAAATGTGCAAGGTGATCTCCCGGAATGCAATTCCGTAATCCCAAAGTAACATACAGGGGAGCTCCCGGGATACCGTCCCGTAGTCCCAAAGTAAAAGTGCAGGGGGATCTCCCGAAATACCGTTCCGTAGTCCTAGAGTAAATATACAGGGAGCTCCCGGGATACCGTCCCGTAGTCCATAAGTAAAAGTGCAAGGGGATCTCCCGGAATACCGTTCCGTAGTCCCAAAGTAAACATACAGCAACAACAAGAATTCAATCCAATCAATTTCATATCAAAGTGAAGCAGGTAATCCTAGCCTAGCATGGTGCACGTAATACAATTAAGGCACTTAAGGCAAATAGAGCAATTTAGACAAGTAGACATGCTTCTCTAGGATACAGCAGGTTTAATTTCCAAACAGTGTAAATAAGAAAAAGGAAGAACACAATTTAAGGCTATTTTTAATGAAAAAAAATCGGATTTCCAATAATTAGCACAAGTATGCGCTCGTCAACTCACGAGGCATTTCAATTACCACAATATCAATCCTAAGGGGAAAAGGTCCCCCACACAAGGTTAGACAAGCCACTTACCTCGAACCGGCTCAAAATCAACCTGATACCACGTTTTGCCACGAGTACTCGACTCCAAATGGCCCAAATCTATTCAATTCAATTGCATATCGTAAATAACACTTCAAGTAACTGATTCTATAATGAAATTCTAAGCTAATACACGAAATTAGGTAAAATAACCAAAATGCCCCTAAGGACCACGTCTCGGAATGGGTAAAATTCACATTTTCGGAATCCTCGTACTCTCAAGAGTCTATGCGTAACAAGAACACAAAAATCGGAGTTCAATTGACTCCTCCAATTCTCATTTAAAGTCTCTTAAATCCCAAGCCCTAATTCTTCAATTGTTGGTCTAAATTCCATGATTTACTAGGTAGATTTCACATAAGAAACGAGTTTTAAGACCAAGAATCTTACCTCTAAGCGTTTCCCCTCGAGTCCTTCTTCTATCCCCTTCAAAGAGCTCCAAAAATGATTAGAAATGGTGGAAATAAGCCCCCAAGTCGCGGAACCTCTTTTAAAATAATGCCATGCAGTTTCCGCATCTGTGGTCCTGTGACGGCATCTGCGGTCCCGCTTCTGCGAAAAATACACCGCATCTGCGGTCTTGCTTCTGCGGAAAATATACCGCATCTGCGGTCACGCTCCTACGGAAAAACATCGCATCTGCGGTCCCGCTTCTGCGGAAAATATACCGCATCTGCGGTTTCTGAAGAGATGGCCGAAATTTCGCTTCTGCGGCGCCGCACCTGCGGAACCCAAACCGCAGGTGCGGTTATGACAGCACCAGCAGCTGAAGCTGCAACTTAAACTCCAAATTTTCCTCCGACAACCATCCGAATTCACCCTGAGGCCCCCGGGACCTCAACCAAAGGCACCAACAAGTCACAAAACACTACCCAAACTTGTACCAATCCTTAAAACACCTAAAACAACATCGAAACCTCGAATTAACCATGGGTTTAAGCCTAAGAACTCCAAAATTTCTCAAAATACGCTTTCGATCAAAAAGTCTATCAAACCTCGTCTGAATGACCTGAAATATTGCACACACGTCCCAAATGACATAACAGAACTACTGCAAGTCTCGAAATTCCATTCCAACCCTCGGATCAAAAACTCACTAGCGAATCGGAAACTTCAAAATTCGATCTTCCGGCATTTCAAGCCTAAATTAGCTACGAACCTCCAAAACATAATCCGACCACGCCCCTAAACCCAAAATCACCTAACAAAGCTAACGGAACCCTCGGATTTCCATTCCGAGGCCGTCTTCACACTGTTCCGACTACGGTCAACTTTCCAACACTTAAGCTCTCATTTGGGAACTAAGTGTCCCAAAACTCTCCGAAACTCAAAACCGAACGTCCCGACAATTGAAAATAGCAGAAATAAACCTGGGGAAAACAGTTAATAGGGGATCGGGGCGTTAATTCTTAAGACGACCGGCCGGGTCGTCACATCCTCCTACACTTAAACATTCGTTCGTCCTCGAACGAGCATAGAGACATACCTGAAGTGAAGTTGCTCATGGCCCAAACTGCTGAGCGACACGCTAGAGCTCAAAACGACCGGTCGGGTCGTTACATCCTTTCCCACTTAAACATACGTTCGTCCTAGAACGTGCTAAGAACTGTGTTGAAGTTGTCCGAAATCACTGTTTAACACCTCGAGCACCTACCCTTGCTACCACAACTCAGCTGGG